AGGGACACATGAAAAGATTTCAAGTTAGGCACTCTAGAAATCATAGAAGTAATGGTTTTGATAAAAATCAAAACTTTCCTCCCCATCTGTCACGTATTTCAATGGGGACGTACTTTACATACGTGCTTGCCATTTCGCAAAGAATAAATGAGTTAATCACTATCCAAGCTAATAGAGCGCCGAAGGCGCGACCATAGCGAGTTTGTTAGCCCGAAGGGCGGAGAAACTCGCTAGTATAGAAATAAACATGAATACATCTTGGAGTACAGTAGAGATGTTCCAGTGAAATCAGGGGGATACTCATCAGTGACTGTATTGTCGCCATCTCGCGTCGGTTGTGCACTGCAGAAAAACCTTATGAGGTTTTAGAACAGAGGCCTCATGAGGATTTTCTCATAAGATATTCGGACAACCTCATGAGAAAGACGTGAGATCTCATGAGACCTCACGACCTTCTCATGAAACCTCGCACCTTTTTATGAGGTTGCAGCGAGTTTTTTTCAGCAGGGCACTGTTGCCAAGGGCCACAAAGGGATTGAGTCTTGCGGCAGGAGGGAGGGAACAACTTCGGGCTCTCCCATTTTCTAGCCGAAAACCAAAGATTCCCAAATGGTGGGTCGCGACCCACTGGACGCTTCAAGATTCAGTCCGAGTAAAAGATTGGGTACTACCCCCAGTAGCACATAACATTTAATCAACGTGGAATACACATGGTATCAACATCCTGACGGGGAATCAGCATTGAATCAATATTGATTCAATGTTACGTGCTGCTAGGTACTGCCCTAGGGGGAGGTTGAAGCAGTTATGTTTAAGAGTTTATTTTCCTGCATGCACTTACATTTAAAAACGGTACGTAGAACGATCCAAGGAAAAATCTGGCCTTTCGAAGTGTTCCTCGCCCCACTTAAGTTCCTGGAATGGATGGAGGCGGTTTACATGGCGGTTTACGCAGATTGAAGAGCCACATCTCCTCCAAACACGAACGCGGAGTGAAGACCCAAGCTCTCCGCAAGCATGAACCCCAGCCCTGTTCTTTGCACCCTTAATTTTTTCCCCCGTGCTTTCGACTCCTTCACTTGGTTTTGGATGCTAGTAATGGAGGTTTTTTTTAAATTCCACACTGACAATTTAATGATCTTAATAGACATATTATTCGAGCAGAGTATTAATCGTGATTGATGAGGTTGCAGAATGTTAATAGACCATAAAATATCCATATAAACTGCTATACGTACTTCCAATTTCCTTTCACAATGTGCTCTTTAGGTATTGGAAATGCTGAATTGAAAAGGACAAAAACGTAAATGCTTTATGATATTTATTTAAAGAAATAAAATCTGTGTGGAAGCAGGTAATGGCTTTTTTCCCTGTTCACTCTCAAGCAACAGCGAGTTTTGGCATTTCAGGAAAAAGGAATACAAAAAGCATGAAGGAAGTGCTGTTATAATAATTGAGTAAGGGAGGGCCTCATGAGGATAAAGGAATGCCTTCATATCGTTCCGAGGTAATCATAAGTTCTTTCTGATGTCTTGCACATACATAAGATGGTCCCTTCCTGCCTGGGATCGCACAGCCAAGGAATATAAAGCTAACGAGCGTTTGGGCTTTCGTGTCGATCTTGGCGAATTCCAGCATCTGCCTCTTCCTTTTCCGTCAAGTGTTAAGCGAAATCCGCAGAGGGGGGTAGGGGGGGGGGAGAAGCGGAGGTGTCAAGTAGGACTCATAGGCACTTCTGTTCGGGGTATCTTGAGCAAGAAGGCGCACACGGGACATTCCATTGTACTGCCAACATATGACGCATGAAGTGGAATCAATTATTTAGAGACATAGCTTATATTTTAATGTCTACATATGCTGTGAGCACGGGCAAGATTCCTTGGAGGAAGGAGGAAGGAGGGATGAAAATTCATGGATAAATTAGAACGAGAACTTCATGTGAATAATGATTCCACCGCGTAGCAACATAGGTCGATGATGCTATCGACGGAAACCGTCCCGAATTCATAGGAATAATGAATAAAAGAAAGGAGAGTGAGGACCTCGTTGACATCCCTCCTCCGACCGTAAGGAGCTTGTGGAGATGATGGGAAAATCATTCACCGCCTTTATAACTTGATTCATTGTTGGTCGCGAGCACCTCGCCCGAGAAGGCATTCGATACAGTGCTATTCTTTTCGACGAAATGAGGCCCTACGACGTCAGAATGGTACTACATTTTAAACTTTTAACCAAATAAGCTACAAGCAGGAACACTATCCTGCACCTTTACTATCGATTTACTATCGATTTACTTTACTATCGATCGTGCACGAACCAAAGTAATAATGAAGGTGCAGGACGGTGTTCCTGTTTGGAGCCCATCTTTTCTCGGGAAAAGTTTTTAAGCGTCACTGCTAAACAGTCACGCTGTTCGTCTCCGCATACATCAGCACAACTTTATTCTTTTGCTGCATTGTGATGTTCCATAACCTTCCTGTCCAAACATACTGTATACTTGACAGTTTTTCCAGGTCCTATTGCAACTCCCAGTCAACGGTTATGCAGCTGTCTATGCTGGGAATGAACATATGAAAAAAGAAAAACCGTCATCATTTCGTGGCCCACCCTGTATATACACTCTATGGTTCCACTAAAAAATGCTCTTCTGCGCAGATCAGCAAAGGGTCTCTCCGATTCTTCCTGGAGCGAATACGTCACGAGAGACCTCAAGATCTCAAGCTTAGATGCCTAAGCCAGTTTCGTGCCGGCCAGGTCAGCCCAACGCATACGCGGCTCGGAGCAGACAAGCTCGGTCGGCGATCGAGTCCCGGGTCGGGTTCATCCGTGCAGGCCTCCGATCACGCAGACAGGAGGACGCATGGTAACGACCCTCACAGCAGAATTTTTCGACTTTTGACTCAATAAGGATCGCCTCTAGGTTATAAGCTTTCGATTGAAATTTTCCCTCGTGAAAATCCGTTGATCCGTTTCCCGGAATCACACCCGCAAGGACATACAGTCTGTATTAGCCTCTTATGCATACGGTTGGATGGATGGATGGATGGATGCATGCCCAGCGAATACGGTTCTATTGCTCCGCATCTCGTCATCGTGCCAAGGAGTTAGTCTGTTTATGGACTTTGAACTTGGAGAGAGGAGACGAACGGTTCATATTCTATTGGAAAGACAGGTACTCGGGCATTAGATTCAGCCTTCGCCTTGCAACAGCATTCCTTCCCTTTTCTTCCATTTTATTGCGTCAGCGATATTACCTGGCACACAGGAGTGCACATCGGTCCCAGAGTCACATCGGCGACAACACGTCAGCAAGAGAGGCGAAGGCCTAGACGAACCCGACGATACAACATATGCGATTTCCTGTACATGTCGTGCTAGGGATTTCGGTTCCTGGCTCACACAGTCGTTTAGCCGACGGATGAATACAAGAATGAGTTTGTGGACATGACTGTTCCTTGTGAATCCGAGTCCAGTTTCGTGTCTGCAGAGGAGAGACAAAATGCAGCAACATATCATCCAAATCGTATTCGGCTCTAGAGTTTCCATTCGAGTGCGGAAACCCATTGGACAAATTACACTTGCCATTTCAGGAACATTTGCAGTGGATTTCGAGATTTGCAACTGACAACACAATTCCTTGAACCTGCAGTCTCCCACGGTCATGAGACTCACTGTCCCCGGTATACAGAGAGAAACGTATTGAGCACCTAGACACTGGTGAGGACATCGACTGCATATATTCAAGGAGTCGATCAGGTTCAGGTTCATGATATCGGTTCCACTCGCACCGTCACACGTCCCCTTTACTTTCCTGAGTAATTCGGGAGCGAATGCCAGCCAAGCCAAGCTGCAATCGCACTGGATGGGATTATCTGAAAGAGCGAAAGGACGATGAGCGTCGCGAGAAGGCCATAGCGGATGACAGCAAGAAGGTGGGACAGCGTGGAACTCACCCTCCAGGTCGAGGAGCCCGATTCCGTGGGACATCACCTCCAGCATGGGTCGGAAGATCCCTTCGTTCAAATGAGCCACGTTGTTCCAGGTGAGTTCAAGCGTTGTGTCGGCCCGTAGACCTAGAATGGGGGCAGGGGGGTCATTGCAGTGCTTATTTAAATTTGAATACTCTAACGTATATCAACCTAAGCGTTGGGAGAGGATAAGTTTAGTATGACAAATACGACTTGCATCGAGACGACTTCTTAGTGGAAAGCATTTGAGAATCAATTTTTATGGTAACGACGCACGCTCTGATGACTTGATTCAATTACGAGTCCGTGCTAACTTTGGGCAATTCCTTTCCAGTCATTCCTCCTTACATTCCATCACCATACGACAGCATCCAAGAATGCTTCCAGGGTTAGTTCATAGGGTGAGAGAACAGAAGGTGAGAAAGTGTTTCTCCGGTTTTCTCCTCTCCTTCAAATGAATGTCAAATAAAACTCGCAATGACTCTGCACTGTAAAAAAAAGCGATAAAAATGCCCATGTTTAAACTCGAAACCATATTTTTGTATTGAATAGTTTTCTTGAATATTCATTCCATATCGCTGCAAAATTAAACAATTAAAGGGAGAAAAACAATTTTCATTAGAAAAACGTAATCTTTCTGCTTGTTATGCTTCATTGCTAGGAAATAAATTTGCAAGGAAGTACAGTATCTCCTTCCGCCCTCCTGGTTTCAAAAGCAAAAATTTGACAAAAGTTGACGCTAGTGGTGGAGACGCTCGTGTCCTCAGCTTGCATATCACCCAAGCCACGTCCAACTTCTTTTGCGTGGAAATTCATTTTTTTGGCTTGCATAAGCTTGGAAATGGTTTTGATGAGCTTAATCCCAGTCAAGGACAGATGAAGCGAGAAGCATGAAAGTAGAAAATTTACTTAATGTTAATCGAAATTTTCCCTTGCTTTGCATACGAGAAGAGGGCCTGGGGATGAGGCACTCAGAAGGGATTAGAAATCCCCTGTCCAATTCCAATATTCCCTTTCCTTTTTGAATAATTGCTCATTTCCCTACTGGTGCTGAATAAATTAGGATGAAGTTACTATTATTATTAGTATTACTTTGGGAACATATCGACCTATGCAGAGCGCAAGTTTCGTGACTTATATCCGATTAGAACAGAGATATATAGATTAAAAGTCGTTGGCCAACTTTGCCATACGCTGTATATCTGACGAGTGAACGTAAAAACGATTGTATGCAATTGAGTGCTGTACAGTGCACGCGTGCGTAGCACCACACGCTGCATGCGGAGGTTCGGCGAAAGATTCACAAGTCGAGAAATAACCAAACCGTATGGAAGTTCTACCAACTGTCCGATGGGGATTGGAGAGTTGGTAGGTGGAAGGTGGATGGAGAACAGGTGGATGTACCCTTGTTCGAGGTAAATGATGAACGAAAGGGATCGTACCTACGATGGCTCCCGGATCCAGTCTTGCGATCCCGTTCTTCCAGAGCGACACCAGCCTCAAGGCCTTGCTGCGGAACACCAAAAACCCGCTCGGAAGGGTTCCCCCCAGATTGCAGCCGGAACAATAGAATTTCTCTAAGTTCGTGAGGCCCGTGATGACTGCTGAGGGAATCTCCGACAGAGGATTGTAACCTGAAGGCGACGAAAAAGCAACGTTAGTGAGGAGGGAACGATATGATCCCTTGCAAAAATTTCTTATAGGAAACTATTGAATTTTTCTATTGGTTTTCGAAACAGAAAAAACCCTATGAGATCCCTATAGGGTTCTATACGATTCCTGACCAATACCGAGCATAGTCGATACGGGAGGAAATCGACCCTTTCATGCTTTACGATGTATCCGCGAGTTTCAAGATTCAAGATTCAAGATTGTGATATCAAGTGATATCAAGAGTTGAGTTCCTTCCCTTGAAGGGAGAAGGATCATTCTGCCCCAGCATGACGAAGTGGCGAACGGAACCTGCGAGAATCATCTCCTTACTGAAAATATTGTATGGGGTTCTCATAGGGAATATCAGCTTGTTTATGGACTGGGCTCAATGATTCTGTCTGGAATATGGGGATAGCAAATAAGGAAGTGTCCAAGTTTATTGATTGCTATAATGAGATAAGGCGAGACATATGGGGAAGTACAAAACACTCCTGTGAGGGATGATTCCATGTTTAAAGGGAAGGGCACTTTTGTGCTCTGTGCGAAATGCGAGACCCATCTAGTGGCCTGGAGGAGGACTTCAACATTTCTCATTGGATTCCAATACATTCCCATAGGATTACTATTGGGGCTCCCTATAAGATATGATCTGTCCTATAGGGACTTTATACTGTAGATCATAAAGGATACCTAATGTATACAACCTATACATTCCTATAGTAAACCTATAGGAATGTACTGATTCCGGTAAATGAGATTCCTATAAGAATCGTATATACTATACGATTCCTATAGGAATCTTATGGACTCCCTATAAGAATGCATGCTTCCCTATTGGAACCCTACAGGTCCTATTGAAAACATATAGAATGCCTATATGTTCCTGTATTCCTATAGGATCCCTATACAGTCCTATGGAATTCCTATAGGACTCCTTCGTAAGGGATTGCTATAACGCTTTCAGCCGAACTCTTTTGAATATGAACGTAGGATTTCCTCCTGAATGTTATTCGATCAATCTACACACTCGTATCGGTGAAAGAAAAGCAGTGCATTCGCTTTTCCCAGTGCTTCAATGAGACAACTTTAACTGCCGGACGTCTCTATCTCGCTCGAGCAATTTATTCTTACGGAAGGTAGAAGTTTCATGGACCCGGTCTGGAAAAATGTGTATAATGAAAGCATGGGTATCGAAGGAAACCAGTTCTGACTCAGGCCATAGATCAAGGTTCGGGGAACTTATTCTGCTCATTATTTTGTGCATCAATTCCGAGAACTCAACATTGAACGAGTTTTCCTGTTTACCTGTTCCGTGCGCATTCCTGTATAATCAACAGCTTTTACCTTTAGCAATTGTTCGAAAGGAAATTTGCTGCGGTGACATTTTCCCTGGAAGCAGATTTACTTCAGACTTATTTCTTTGCAGAATCGAAGGACAAGGACGGTTCGTAATGAAAGTCGGTCCTCCGTCGTTGCGCGTAGGGCAAAGCCGTGATGGAGACACGGTACAACGCGAGATGTATCATACTCACTGAGGTAGAGTTCCCTCAGGTTGGGAGTCGCCCATCCGTCTTCCTCCACTCTCGTTATTCGATTGCTGTAAAGATACAGGACTTCGAGGCTTTCGCTCTTAAGCACGGGAACCGACGTCAACGAATTGTTCTGGAGCCAGAGCTTCTTCAGGACGGAGAAGGCCGGCAGGAGGTGGAAGGGGAATACCTCCAGGCGACTGTGCGCGATCGTCAGGTCGACGAGACGGTCTCTGGACGACAGGATCGACGACGAGTGGATCGTCCTCAAGGTAGTGTTGTAGATGAGTATCTTCTCGAAGGAGAGACTCCCGAAGACTCCCTCGGGTAGGTCCTTCACCTCCGTGTTATCTGCCAGCTCGAATTGCCTGCAACGAGAATGGAAATAAATAAATCTCATAATCCACAATGCTGGCAGTGCATTGAAGTTAAAGGTGAAACATTAGAATTTCAAGCTCATGCCGGCTAGAAACATCCAAACGGCACTTCAAAATCATTATGAAATGTTTAAATTTAACATTGACGTGAGATGTGACTCATATTTTGCCATCTGATGAGAACGACTTCTGGGTCGACTTTAGAACTTTTGAAAAATTTCTCAGAATTCTGAGAAACTTTTCTGCTGGATTCCATACCTTTCCAAGGACAGCAAGTTCATTTAAAATCTTTTAGCCAATTCTTCAGTTGCTCCTATTGGAATTCGATAAACCTAAATTCCCAGAATTCGAATATTCGCCGATGCCACAGGATTGGGGGATCCGATTAACAGCCCTCTGATAATTTTCTGTGTTCTATCCGAGTCATTTTGCTTATAACTGTCACATGAACGAAAGACAGGCTCCCACATAGGGATGATAAAGACTACTTTGTAGCCTCTCGAAGGAAGAAGCAGGAATTCGGATAGAAGGATTTTTCGAGAGGGAGCGGTGATCTTGAAGCCCCCAATTGCCCTGGTGAATCACGTTCTTCCGCGCTGCAACTGGCTACGCAGTTCATTGGACTTCTTCTGCTTAACCCTTTCCGCAGCACTTACTTTCGTTCAGTTTCACAAAAGTTACTTGTGGAAGTGTTAGAATGGTACGAAAAATTTTTTTTGACGTGGTTAATTATGAGCTGCTCAATCGATGAAACGAATGTACTCCTCTCATAATTCCGTCTCTGAATGTGGAGATAGAAACGTTAAAATACACGAAAGCGAAGTGGCCATGATCTGGTGCACCGTCTTCCACTCGAACACAACATTCCCATGAGTCGCGTGGAATACTCTGTGATGCGTCTGGGATTTTTCAAACGGGGGGATGGGAGGGTTTGAACATCGAAACCCCTCTCCATTGCGACGCGTCCCTTGGAAATGCCTAAATTTTCATCTCGCAACATGCTCTTTTTTGTGGGAGATTGAAAGCAACTATGTTAATGACTAGGATTAGCTGTATATTGGATTATTTCCTCCGTGCCCGGAGTTTATCTGATTTTACCAGAAAATATTTCGATCCCGAGTTTTTCGAAAATAATCATTTCGATCTACGAGGGATCATGTTCCGTTGCGTTAACTTCGCTGGAAAAATAGAGAGGCAAAATTCAAGGGGGAAATATATGCAGCTGTTGGATCTGCATTCTCATCTTTTGCGTCCTCGCATTCCTTCTGCATTCCTAGGTCTCGGTGACAGCTACTCATTCTAGAGTATAGTGAGCGGGAAGCGTCTTAATTTAGAACTCTCTTACTCACCAAATGTGACTGGAGGGCCAGGGCGCATTCCTCAGCGCCGACGAGATCTCCACACTTCCCCTGGCACTCGAGCAGTTCACTTTCGCGTTGCCGCTGGAGTATTCGCCGCAGTCGCAGGGACGGATCACCTCGGTGGGGCATGCCGGCTCCGTCGTCCTCGCCGCGAGGGCGAAAAGAGAGAGGAGGAGGAGGGCGACCGATGGGATCATCCTCAAATTTCGTCTGGGCGGAGTATTAGAAGGGTACGTGAGCCGGGGGGGGGGGGGGGGGAGGAGGGGAGGCTTCCTTCATGTGGAATGATGAAACATTCATGACTTATGACCTTCAGAATTTCATTTGAAAAGAGTGGATAACGAAGGTTATTGCCGGTTCCACAAAAGGAAAGTAGAAGTACGACGCGAATCGAGTGCACGAGTATTCCTCTGCATTCAATCTCTTATAAAGGGAAGGGGGAAAGTTCCCTATTCCCGCTCTCTCTTTCCATTTTATCCCCCCCCCCTCTTTTATGGTGCTCTATGTAATGCACATCGTCGTTATTGGACCTTGGACACCACCCGAAGATGTCCGTTGGCCTACCAAAGAATTGAGACGCAAGAAGGCGATGTTGGGGGAACCGAATCTAGACATGGATTTCTTTAATAGGGTGTACTGTACCCCCAGTACACCTTTGTACTATTTGATCCCACGTGAAGCTATCCCCTCCGAAACGTCGCCGTGAAATGTCATTCTGAGCCTTGTCCCTTAATCATCGAACGATTCTATGAGGTTTCGTTTTCATATTGCCTCCATGGGAACCGTGAGCTCGAAACGCGACAAAGAATTTATTGAAAATACGCTAGCTGAATAAAGAAACTACACTATATAAATTATACAGTTTCTTCCCAGTTTTTCATTCTCATCCATCCATTCATGAATGTAACGGCCACGGAATTGTCGTAGAGAAGAATCGATTCTGGGAGACGAAGCGTGTCGAAGCTGAGAATTCTCGCGATGCACAGAATGAGAATGGCGTGGACCATGATGGGAACTGGTGCCGTCAGATGTCAGGTCTTTCGTCTTTGTTTCGAAGGGAGGAAAGGATACGCTCAGAATGAAAAGAAGCCATGTTCACTGGACCTTCGGTGCACTTCTCGAGAGCAAAACAAAGAGAAACAAGTTTTCTCTCTCACGCCGGGTCGACGTCCGAGAGTTTCGGAGACGGAACGTCGGCGGGCTCTTCTCTGCCATCAGGTGCCCAATCTGCCTTCTAGGAATTATCTACCTCAGTAACAGTGAAAGGAAAGTCTGCCACATCACGTAGTACACCTTAGACTTCATTCCGTCAATCATTAATCCATGGCAAGCAATCTGTGCGTCCCTCCGAAAATAGCCTCGGGCAGAATCTCGGAGGACTTCCATTAGAGGGACTGCGATTCGATGTGGTACCTGTGCCTGCTTGGCACAGGTACCACATCGAATCATCGTCATTTTTAATTTTATTTACCGAAGAAAAAGTAATGCTGTGTGAATTCTGGGGGTTGGAACATAATTCCCAAAGCTTCTATTAAATTTTCCCTAAATTTCATGTTGAATACATTATTCATTCTTGATTAATTAAGAAAAATACAAATGTGTCAGAGATATGTGGGACACCCAGCACAATGTGAAAGAACTGTCGAGGGTTAATACCTGAAATGTTCGGAAAGAGGAGGAAAGAGGAGAGATCGAAGAGAAGCAATTTTTCCGCCGGAACTAGACTTCTCTTCAACTCGATCACGCACATTGCATCCGCCCGGAAACGTCCCATATTTTTTCCGCGTCGACAGGGCTTTTCCTCGTAGATGTGGATTGGATGAGAGTTCCAGGAATAGACGGACCTGTATGACACGGCATGCAGTTGAACCACATCCGGTGAGTATGCGACATACGAGCCGAGTTCAAACTCCTCTTTCGCGAAAGGTTTTCGGAGCAATCCGCGTGTGCGCAGAGGTTGATTCACGGTTGCGAGGAAATAATCCGATTGAAGTGAAAAATCAGCATTCCTTGGATTTGTGTGGTAGATATATTTTTTTTTAGGAAGCACCTGAGAAAAATATCAGGAACTGCGAAGTTTCGAGAAGAAGAAATTTTGGTAAATGAATCATTTCATGATTTGGTGCTACCCCATGGTCATGGTCATGGTCATGACTACCCAGACTTGGCAGCCCCTGATATATTTTTCTATGGTGTTTCCAAAATAGTAATGTGTATCCCACAAAACCAGGGATTGCTGATGACCTAAATAACAGAATTAGGAAAGTTATCACTACCATTGAGAGAAACACATTGCAGGCAGCAATAAATAATGATTTGGTTTGATGCAGAGGGTGCATCAATTAGAATGGAGGGCATTTGGAAAAAAAAGCAATGCTGTTTGAATTGTACAGGTTGGAACATAATTTCCGAAGTTTCTATTAAATTTTCCCAAAATTTCAAATTGAATGCCTTATCCATTCTTGAATAATTAAAAAAATTAATGTGTCAGAGATATGTGGGACACCCTGTATTAAAAGCAGGGTATGCTTAAACAGTATCTGACTTTATATCATTCACATGTATATAAGGAGCATAGATTTCGTTTGCGATGGCATAAAGTTCCTGAAATGATGATATGAGGTAATAATGAGTTTTCATACAGTTGCCAGAATTTCACGTATACTACAATAATTTTCTAGTGAAATGAGGAGTTACGAATCTTGAATGAGACAAGAAACTTCCAATTCCATTATGCTATTCTGAGTAATTTAAAATAGACATAATGAAATGACGTGAGTTGAACTTGAATAAGAAGTTTAAAAGCGTGAACTTGAGGAAAATGAATTACAAACTATTCAATATATCCTCATTGGAAGCATAAGGTTAGCGCCAATATGCTTCTAGAATTAGTTTTATTATATATTCTTTTATTAATTCTGGCTCTCATTGCAAGCTTGCAATGGCAACAAGGAAAGGGAGAAAATAAAAGGAGCATACCGGAAGCCGAGATAGGAATGAGTCAATCGTAGGTGTTCACGTGGCCTGTTGGATCGGGCTGGGCGTGGCCGTTTGCATAAAATCCTCCTATCATGCTTCCCATCTCATCAATAGCAGGGATGGCCGGACTCCTGATCGAGTACATCGTCGTGGCAGTCTTCGCATTCAGGGTCTGCTGGGGACTCCCGAATCAATCCAGATGGGCAAGAACCGAAGCGTTGGATTCGAAGAGACAAGTGAGGCTGCACTGGACGCCGAGGATCACCAAAGGAGACATCCAGTTCCTATTCGTTGCTCCAAGCACGGGATGGGTTGGAGTGGGTTTCTCTCCTAACGGCATGATGATAGGGGCCGACATGGTCATCGGAGGAATCAGGAACGGATCCCCCTATTTCAGCGTATGTCTCTCAAATTCCGTGCAGGCCTACATTCATGCTCTGGTAGACTTCTAGCAATGTTGCAATGTATTATACCTAACCGGTTCAATTAGGTAAAATCATCGGACGAATTCTATCTGCGGCATCGCATTTTTTCTTACGATGTTCTTCATAAGGCATTGCGTTGACTTTTTCCATCATTATTTTCTCCGTTGTTAACCATGCACGGTCATCGTTATTCTCAGAACGAATGGGACAACTTCCAACGAGTATCAAATCACACTTCACGAACTTCATGGACGTGACGGTAGAACTATTGGCACATTAGATAGATGTCTGTTTGCAGATAATTGCAAATACTTATCTCAGACTCTTAATACCATCTCAGACAAAGTTTCCATCTTAAAAATGTTTCACATTATGAGATTCATATTCTTTGGATAGAGAGTTACCTTAACTGAAGAGCTGAGAAATGTCAGAACATTAGTGAGTGATGAAAACAGGAAGTGATTCTTGCCAGCTGGAATGCGGCAAGATTTCAATTTGACCGGAAGAGAGTTCTTCTCTTCAGATAAGTTCCTTCCGCATCAATACCAAGATGAGGAGCTATTTAACCTTTTCAGACCTGAATTATGGCCACTATTGGAATAATAGACTTTTTTGAATTTTTGAACTCTTTTCTTTTGTGCTTTAAATTTGTATGTTCTACATATGGTTTTTATATGTTGTATAAATATACCATATCATACCATATATTATATATCATACATGTAATTACATAACTGAAGATTACAAAGCTGACAGGTGAAAGAGGGCCTCCGATGGAATTGAGCTATTCATAATTGCGCCCATTGTAGTGTATTATGGGGCGCAAAGTCGTGAGAATGTAAAGAAAGTATTAATACTATAGACGCAATGAAAATGCAATGTCCTTTAGAATGGACGCCAGGTCTGAAGGGTTAAGTCATATGATCAGGCATCACTTACCATCTGCTGACTAAGTATGATGTCGTTGAATATCGTCGTCGTCGTCGATTTGTCGTCGACTATGATGACGAATACTTATTTATTTAAACCCTTACAAAAATCGTTACCTGAGGTAAAATTTGGACGGTCAACCTGAGGTAAAAAAAAAACCATTTTCCCCCTCTTTTAACCTGTCAGAAGACCCTTCAGGTAAAGATTAGGTGAAAAAGCGGTTAAATTTGGATGAACGAGGGCGTAACGTTTTGTATGGGAACCTTGAATTAACTGTTGAGTTCGTAGAGATAGGTATTCAAACAATTGGGAGCAAAATATGTCATTCTATCCATGGAGGGAAGACGCTTGATCCCTCAATTCATCCCCTGAGTGATGAGGCATCTCGATGAATAGAGGAAATGAGAGAGGAGATATTTTGGCTGAGCGTCGGATGGCGCAGAGTAACCGTCATGCATTCTCATCATGTAAATCACCATGAGGAATCACATAATTAACAGTACATTCTCAAGCTCAAATTTAGCCCCGAAGTTATATTGTAGAAATCCTTAAGGTTCATGACGCCCCTAGCTGAGACTCTGTGGTGGACCGCTCAAGTAGAAAACATTAATATAGGTCACCCCTCAACCAACCATTCCACGTGGAGAAATTAATGTGAAGGACACTGAACAAAGAGCCACTTCAGTTGAGAATTATTCTGTGATTAACCCTGATTTGTTTGGGCGTGGTAGCTCAATTAATGAAATCAACATTTTCCAGCCTCTTATCCTCGCTAAAACGACCGGAAACGTTATGTTAGAAGTACTAGTACGTCTATGAGTCTACGAGTCTATGTTCCTCTATCGTTATCTTCCAAAATTAGACCTAGGGATCTTTTTCATTTCGCGTGCACAAGAATTCCTCGGAATACATGGCGATGCCGAGGTAGTTGCTAGAAAGGATGAATGCTGGGAAATCTGAATGAACGGATGGCACACACGCCACACTCCCCTTAAGAGTGTCTATGTTCCTGGGAGGGAAGAGTGGAAGGATTTTCTTTATTCATTCCGCCGAATTCCCGGGACCTAATCGAGAAATAGCCGCCAACGCTCCCTACCGGAAGCACATACGAACGATTAAGGGGAGGTGTACATATCAAATCTACCAAAACTGACAACCGATACTGACAGATACCAACGACAGAAATGTTTGGGTTCCAGTCGGAAATGATGGGGACATGTCCAGAATCCTCCGTTTTAATCCTCGCCTCCTCTCTTTCTCTTGGATCATGTGCCCAGGGAAGTATCGAGAGAAGCCGAATACACAATGGGAAAGTGGGCAGTAGTTAATAGGTCTGGATTTAGTCAAATTGCTATTTATCATAGGCGTTCAAGTGTTTCTGTCACGCAAGACTTGGCTACCAGACCTTCATTCCATATCGTTTCAGACAGAAGTGAAAATTTATTCATTTATTTATTTATTTATAACATTCTGGATGACGTAACAGAGGTATTTTCCGGTTCTCTTAGCAATTCAAAAGGCTGGAAAATGCTAAACGAAAATAAAGAGACAATAATCGAGAGTGATGTGGGATTTAAAAGCGGAAGTGAGCTACGAAAACTATGTCCCCTTTTTATTCAATGAGCTAGACTACTATTACGTAATCGTTACGCATCCCGGTACCTGAATAGAGTAAGGTCAATCCATCCGGTCCATTCTTATCCCACGTGGAGAAGTAAAACAATACACGGCCGGAAATGACTGTGTTTATTCATTTGACTCGATGACTTTGGTTCTACCGTGACAGGATCGGCATTCCGCATCGAACACCCTTCCTGATGTCGACAAGCAGCAGAATTACGAATTGATTCGAGCTTTGGAGAACGGGACCCACACCTGGCTTCACTTCTGCCGGAATATCAGCACCACAGATTTGTTGCAGGATTATCAAATCACGGTAAATTTCCGTCCTTCCGATTGGCCTTCGTATTTACCACATTTGACTTCTCCGTAGGTTGAGATGTGGAAGAAACTAGATCGCTTCCTCATTTAACAACCCAGATGCTCGTCCACGCGCTCCATCTCAGGCACAAATGTATCCCAGCGTGTGGAAACCGAAAAATGAAATATGGCGCTTGATGAGGGACTCCGGAATGTGTCCTTCCCCACTTTCGCAAAATGAACCTCACTCACATATGGTGAAATCACGCACAAACGCATGCATGCCGATCATGCACTCGATCATGCATGTTGCTTTTAATCTGGTGTTTCGCGAGCACTCGTGAGTTCACTTTACATCACTTTTATTTATTCATGGAGTGTAATAACGTCAGTTTCTGGGAGGCTACTAATAGTCTGCCAGAATCGCTCTGAAACTACGAACGTGAGAAAAGCGGTGTGAATCATGAAGAAAAGGTCCCCATCAATTTCTCCCTAATAGTACAGTGAATAAAGTCTGGAAGGATAAAGCGACAATTCTGCAACGAAGACAATGATGCTCTCTAGTTCCACGAACCTTGATCATATCCATGCCAAAATATAAAAAGCAGTACATTTCGTAAAAATGTGATTTATACACGAAGGAAAAGCCGAAGGAAGCCTCTGAGATCTAATGAATAGGTACACTACGAGAGAGGAAGAATGGAGTCGACCGGAAAAGGAAAAGAACTTGGGAGAACCAAGAGTATCGTGCTGACGCTGCATTTCTCATTTCAGAACAAGGCAGTGGAAATCATCTGGGCATACGGGGAAAAAGACCCAGGGGCCGGGGAGGAACCTTCCTATCACGCGCGCAACCGAGGGGAACGCAGCCTGTCCATCCTAGATGCCACCGTCGACGTCAGCCAGGAGGAAGCCTCGGCGGATCCCTCGAAGGACGGAACGGAGGATTAATCGGAAGCGGGCATCCGCATTCCTCTTACCTGATGGCCTTCGTTTCGAAAAGGAAGAGGTCTACACCGTCGCTCATCACCAATCGATATATCTATATATTTTGTATCCTTTGTCTTCATGTCTTCTTTGTATCCTTTGTCTATTTGGGAGATTTCTTTGCCCTCGATTCTGTTTCGAATGAAGTCGCACCTTCCGATGAAGCAATTGTTGAGAATGTTTCTCTTGAGCAAGAATGGGTCCTACCCTCTGCCGTTCCCTCGTCGGTAGGGATATCACGCAGATCCTCCATCCTTCGATGCCCGACGAAAACAACTCCAGAGGCCAGCGCAGGAACTTGGAGCATTCATCGTATTGAAATTAAGGATAATTTATTGCGTTATAAGCCCGATCCCATAGGTCACAAGCACCACCTCTGTTTAAGATATAAATTAATCAGATCCTAAATTAGTTCCTCTCAACCACGAGTCCTGCATTGGTTTTCAAAGAGCCGTTTTCATTTGGAAAAACTGCAATCAGATGGTGCGATGCCCCAGCTACGATTCCTCGGAATCGACTCCACAGTGGAAAACAGTTGTGGGAAAAATCAAAAAGTCCCCTCCCTGGCGGGGAATCGAACCCCGGTCTCCCGCGCGACAGGCGGGATACTCATCAATATACTACCGAGGACTCAACAGCACTTTGCCGAGGCTAATCCAGAAAGATGGTTTTCGACCTGATCGACATGTATTTCATCCTCTTTTTATGGCTATCTGGCAATATGAAAGCAGAATTACGTCCAAGTTCGGGAGATGGTAAAGTAAAGCTAAGCAGATTAATAATGCACAAGGTGGTATAAATTTACGGGAGAGACATCTTGGCGTTCTTTTCAATAGCACTTGGACTTCAGTTCGAGGTCCATTCATCAACCGCACCGACAGCCATTGCGGTGACCCGCGAAAGCACAGAGTCCATTATTCTTTGTACACTATAAGGGGCTTAGATTTCGTTCCGAATGCCCCGCAATTACTAATTTTATGAAGAGGTAATGATCACATTTACTGCTTTTCCCATGTACGAGCAGGGGGCTTCAAAAAGTTCGTGGAAAATGTGTAGCTTGAAAAGAATATATGCGTGGATTTCAATCTATTTGCACAAAAAGAAACACTTACTAACGTGTTATAACATGCCTGAACAGGAGCCGACAGGAGAAGACGTCAGTTTGAAGAGAGCCCCCATTAGAGCAACATGAATTCTGCTAAAATGGAAGCAAGAACAAACATCAAATTCATGGTGAAGCTTGGGTGGAAGAATAGTGAAATCATTGATGCTTTAGGAAAAGTTTATGGGGACAATGCCCCGAAGAAATCGGCAGTTTACAAATGGATAAC